AAGACTCAGCACAGATAAAAGCCCCTGAACACTTTCAAGGAGTCACTGAAAGTCATATGGGGACAGAATTTCAGGGATAGAAATGATTGTGGCTGATAAAATACACTCTGGGCATCTGAGATGGTGTCTACAAAGTACCAGAACTATCAGCAGAAAAAGTCAAACAGTCCGTTGTTTTATTTCCGTGATTCACAAATGCTAGCTTGACTGGTAGCATCAATGAACTGATTAAATCAGTAGCTTGTTTTGACACTGCAGTGTAAGGGTTGGAGTGGCTTTTCTAAAATTGGGAAGTGAGGGTCTAGAACATTCTCTATCCCACTCATACAATAGGTTTGGAAGATCCCCAAGTAAGGCAATTCAGGGACGATTGGTGAGTCCAATCTCCTCAAAGTCCCCAAGACCTAGGGATGAAACAAATCTTGCTGATTTGAACATTATTCATACCCATCCTCAATCACATCTGTGTATTTGAGCATTTCCAGCCATCAAAAGTCATCAGATTTGGATTTGGGAGGACACAGGGGACACATCTGCATTATATCGGCCTCAATGATCTTGAAAGAAAAGGCCAATGCTGGAAATCGAAGGTTCCTTGATGCAAGTGACCTCCCTAGGTAACTCAGACAAAATTCAACCAAACTCTGGATTTGTTTACCAAGAGAACTAGACAAATCAGTCATGCCCAGACTTTTAAGGAAAACTGGCTGTGGCTTCTGCCAAGACAAGTGAACCAAGCTATTCCTTACATCAAAGTAGCCATGCTCTAGACCACACGACCTATCTGTTCACCACACAGGTTGAACAAAGAGGGTTGTTATGAAGGACAGCCAACTTACTGGTTTGCTAGTGACCTATGCAGAAGCCTGAAGCAAAGAACTGTCCCCTAAAAGAAAAATGGTAATAAACTAAGCCATTCAGATTCTCTCTTGAGACTCTGAACTGACAAATGGCATCAGGTAGTTTTTGTTCATGGCAGAGCACCAGAGTAAAGGGGGGAACTTGGGCTGCAGAAGGGAGATAAGCTGACCTGTCTCTAGAGCTCCCTACATTTCTCGAAGTGACTCCAGTTCCACTTTCTGTGAGGCTCACTGTACAGATATTTCTGGGTTACTGCCAGATTCCTGTTGTCATTTTGGTTCTGTGTCTCCATAAAACAACCCAGGACTAGAGAAAACTGAAGTGAATCTGTTTCTTGTAACCAAGAGCTGACCTAACACACCAAGTCTTCTCAGGATGCCTACTGGTCCCATGGGGCTACAAGCCAGCCAGGGAGATGTGCCAAGGCCCAGTTGTTTTTCCGTGAGTCAGCAATACATTTTACAGGACAAACGTCCTCTGTCATCTGCTGGAGCAGCAGGAGGAAGCACTGAGATGTCAAATCACAGGGAGCATATGCTTGGAGCTGTGTTCCTCTGACGCAACTGAGGTGGCCGGAGGGAGGTCAGCCTTCCCACATGCAGCTGGTTTGAGATCCCATCTCTGTTACATGGAATACTTGTTAAGACCGAGGGCGGTGTCCATGGAGCAGTCAAGGCAGAAAATCAATCCCCAGTGTCACAGGAAATACTCTACAGTGTTAGAAGAGCATCCTCATATTAGAGCTGTGTGCTTCTTGATTTTTAAGGAATGGCTTGCCCAAAGAAAGCTCAGATTCCTTTCTACTTCCAGTCCTGCGTTCAGGACTTGATTCTTACTGCTTTATTTTGTGAGTCATAGTTGGTGGTAAGTGACTCTTATCCTTAAGGCTCAGATACAAATACCAGTTTTTCACTTTCTTTTAGAAACTCCTGATTTGAAGCAAGAAGAGAAAAGACAAGCTGTTCTCATCAAGATATCTTATCCTAGAAGAACTGAGCTGGCTACAGTCAAAAAGAACACCATACTTTTTTTTTTAAAGCCACTTGAGTGAAGATTGTTATCTGGAGAGCAGTGACCTGTCTTACCATTGTATCCCTAGCAGCCAGCTTAGGGTCTGCCATGGAGGAGACACTCAGAAAAACTGTCTGTTAAATGAGCAAATGAATGAATTGGTGGTTCACTGCCTTGTGATCAAGTAGATTGCTCTGGAACCCATCATAAATACAAATACAAGGAATCTGCCAGCCTGGATGCAATGCATTTAGGACCCATTGAAGGGGCCAGTGATCAGGGTGATTTCACAGAGGCCCCTGGGACGATTACCTCTACCATTTTCACTTCACTCTGCTGCTCACAGGTTGGTCTGAATCCAGTAGCTAACAGGCTCTATCAACGAACTCCTTGGCCTGAGTTTCCTCATCTGTTCACTGTGAGGATTGAATCTGGTAGTAGCAGGACCCTCACTAATCTAAGTCTATATGTTATACTAAGTATCCTCTCTCAACCCTGAAAATAAGTATTTTAAAACAAAAACCTGGATGGTAAGTAAGGAAGTTTCTAACATTTCTCTTCTGTAAAAGTGCAGCATTTTCTGTTTTGTTATGTAACAAAAGAAATCCATAGAAGAAAATATAGGCAAAACATTATCTGACATAAATCTTGAAAATGTTCCCTTAGGGCAGTCTACCCAGGCAATAGAAATAAAGTAAAAAATAAACAAATAGGACCTAATTAAACTTACAAGCTTTTGCAAGCAAAGGAAACCATAAGCAAACAAAATGACAACATACGGAATAGGAGAAAATATTTGCAAATTATGCGACTGACAAAGGCTTAATTTCCGAATATATAAACAGCTCCTACAACTTAATAACAAGCAACTCAATCCAAAAATGGGCAGAAGACCTAAACAAGCAATCCTCCAATGAAGACATACAAATGGCCAATAGGCACATGAAAAAGTGCTCAATATCACTAATTATCAGTGAAATGCAAATAAAAACTACAATGAGGTATCACCTCACACCGGTCAGAATGGCCATCATTCAAAAGTCCACAAACGATAAATGATGGAGACGCTACGGAGAAAAGGGAACCCTCCTACACTGTTGGTGGGAATGTAGTTTGGAGCAGCCATTATGGAAAACAGTATGGAGATTCCTAAAAAGACTGAAAATAGACTTACCATATGATCCAGCAATCCCACTCCTGGGCATATATCCAGAGGGAAATCAAATTTGAAAAGATATATGCACCTCAACGTTCACAGGCGCACTATATACAATAGCCAAGACATGCAAGAAACCTAAATGTCCATCGACAGATGACTGGATAAAGAAGCCATGGTATATTTATACAATGGAATACTACTCAGCCATAAAAAATTAAAATAATGCCATTTGCAGCAACATGAATGGACCCAGAGATTGTCATTATAGGTGAAGTAAGCCGGAAAGAGAAATAAATATACCATATGATACCACTTACATGTGAAATCTAAAAAAAGAAAAAAAAAAGACAAATGAACTTATTTACAAAACAGAAACAGACTCAGACATAGAAAACAAACTTATGGTTACAGGGGGGTGGGTGGAGGGGGGAGGAAGGGATAAATTGGGAGTTTGAGATTTTCAGATACTAGCTAATACATATAAAATAGATAAACAGTAAGTTCATACTATATAGCATAGGGAACTATGTTCAATATCTTGTAGTAACTTATGGTGAAAAAGAATATGAAAACGAATGTATGTATGCTCCTATATGACTGACACATTATGCTGTATACCAGAAATTGACACAACATTGTAAACTGACTATACTTCAATAAAAAATATATATATATACACATATACATACATACATATACTATATATATATAGAGAGAGAGAGAGAGAGAGAGAGAGAAATCTGTAACTTCAAGGCCTCTCTTATAACTGTCCCCTTCTCTCCTCTCCATTTCTCTCCAGAAATAAGCAGGTCATATTTGCAGGCTTCTTCAAACTTTACTATGACATTTTCCCAGGGAAAAAATCCTTCCACAGTAGGTTTATCAACAGTATTAAACTAGAGGCTCACTTTACACATACCGGTGCTTATGTCCAACCGTAAGAGAATATTTCCTTCCCTCTGTCCTTTCCTCCACATTTAGGCATTAAATGCAGGAGATGTAATTGTGAACAAGTGAGACACAGTGGCCCCACCAGGTGTGGTAAGGGGTTTAGACAAATGAATGGGAAATCAGTGTAAGGTGACACTGTGACGACAGGAGACATGAAGGCAGGAAGTAAGTACAAGGGGCATCCAACCAGCCTTGGCGGGTCTGGAAGTTTCTAAGTGATGTTTAAGCGGTGAAGTGAAGGAGGGTAAAGTAAGAAGAACAGCACCTCCCAACTCCTGCTACATCCTCTGAAGACTCCCAACTCTTCTTCCTTAACTTCCCCTTTGAGCTTCATTGATTTCAAAGGCTGTCATCCTCAGCAGTGTTTTGTTTAATCATTAAGGAGACCTGGCACTTCCAGAACTTCAAAAATTGTTTTTGCTGATGATTCAGGTAAATGGAAACTACTACAAATTGCTGTTTAAAGACACTTGCTCCATTTGACCTCCGGGCTCGGGATTAAAATAAAAAATGTCACGTTCCTCTCCTCTTCCAATACACACGCACCACAATCTGGCCTCTTCCATGGCCGTTTACTGGATTCCCCAGCACCTAGCACAACGCAGTGGATCACTGAAGGGATCTACAGGACACCACTTTGTACTGCAGTTTCAGGGCTGTGTGAGAGAAATTTAAATTTATTCATTTATTCCTCTTGGAACTTCTCGCGTATGAAACCTGTTCACTCGAAGGACAATTATTTATTTTAAATGTTTTTTAAAATGGAGGCTCTAGGGCCACTTGGGGAACAAATACTGTTACTTAATGGCAAAACTTTATAGTTTCCTGGAAGCAGTGAAATAAATTCCACAATGAGAAGAACATTTTAAAAAGCAATCAAATTAAAACTATTCTCAAATTATGAATGCTTCATATGTGCAATTTCTCACATGAATCAAGTGATTCGAATGTATTAAGAACACCCAAAAAAGCAAACGGAAAACTTCATATATATGTTTAAATTTTAATGCTTGAGAAAATACAAGTTAAAATTTGATACAAACACTGCTGGCACAAGAAAACATACACAAATTTGGATTCAGATAGAGTCAGTATGTAAACCTAGATGTAAGAATGTATCATAAACAATACGTTACTGAAACCTTTTAAAGAAGTAATAGATTTTTAAGTCAGACAGAGACAGACTGCAGAAGGAATAGTAATTTTTTTTCTCAAAAAATTTCCCTTAAGTAAACTCAGTGTGGAGAGGAAAGTTAGAGATCATCTAATTTACCAAGGCATTTTGAAGATATAAGCCTGAAAGACAACACTGTAAGTCCAAACAATGTAAAAATAATCAGCATTACATTTTCCTCTGAAGATTAATTTGGTATGCTTGTCATGTTAACAAATTATAGCAATGAAAAATAAAAACTTATTCCATTCTTCTCTGGAAGCAGACATTATTTCTTCTTCCAGATATTTCAGTAATTGAAGCTCAATATTCATTTTATTAAGTATTAAGAAGAAACATTAAAAATCTCACACTATTGTTAAGAAGAAATGAAAACTTCCAACTTCAACAATGTATTTTTAAAATTGTGAAAACAACTGGATATACCAGCTCTTTAACAGCATTTCAAAATATATTGAATAAAGTATCACTCAGCCATTGTTTATTTAAAAAAATACTTTATGTTGGAAGAGAAAGCTATATAGAAATAAAAATTCATCCAATGTGAATATAATTGGAGAAATTCCCTGATCATGAATATTAATATAGGATAAAATGAGTATTTCAAAAATATTCTCACCATATCAAAGTGTAAAATCAAAACAGAATAACAGGAATTGGAAATTCGTACTATCAGTAGCCTGATGAAGAAAAGGACTACTTATAAATTAACTTCCAATTTTCAAAAAAATAATTCTTGGAATTTGTGTCAGATGATACTTTGATTCCTGATTATTCTCAACACAAAAGTTACTGTTTACAGTTTTGTGAAATCCACTTGGAATCAGTTACATTCATTTACTTTTTTTTTTTAAGTTGTAGAAGTTACTGATACAGAAGTATCGTTTGGTCTTACAAAGGAATAAACTCCTTCTTGAAATTAAAATTCTTCCTCTTTAAAGATACATTAAATATTTCTTGTCACTAAAAATGTAAAACTTCCAGTACTTCCTGAACATTGACTCACCTTCCAAAGATGTAAATATTACCTCAATGCCCAGATCAACAGTGGAACTAAACTAAGTATTTAGGTACTGTCTCTCTCTTTTTTGTTGTTGTTATTTTTGGAGGGGGGAAGTAATTTGGTTTCTTTATGTATTTTTTAATTAATTTTTAATTTTTTTTTTTAGTGGAGGTACCGAGGATTGAACCCAGGACCTTGTGCATGCTAAGCATGCACTCTACCACAAAGCTATACCCTCCTCTGGGACTGTCTCTTTTAAGAAGAGAAGCATCAATTATTTCAAAAACTAGCCTGCATATAGCTTTGATTTTAACTGTATTCCTCAGACAAAAGATCACTTAGTTTTATACAAAGGTTTCTTGTTTTATAATCTATCAACAGTAGTAGTCAGCTTAAGATGCTTATTCTATGATTACACATTTGTGTGAACCATTATTTTTCTTTAGAAAAACACTTTAAGTTTGAAATAGAGAAATACAAACCTTAATACTGAATATAACAACCTGTGATAACTGATAATACTGTAAAGTTATTAAACATATCCCTAAAACTTGAGAGTACATTAATCATTTTAAAATAGTTACAATCTCTTAAAAAACAAATTATTTACAAATATCATCTTAGATTGATGAGGTCTATGTAGTCATTACATGATCTGGGTAAGTTCCTTGGAGAATCTGCCTACAGAACAGAAAACGATGCATATATACTATCCATTTGCCATCAGAAAACTGAAGCATGACTTTATTAAAGAAAGTTAACATAATTGGGAGAATCTAATTAAAACTGGTATTGTGCTCACTAAAGAAAAATTACAACCACATGATAGAATTTTTATATAGCAGCGCTTTAAGATTCTTTAATATCACACCTTAATTTTGAGATGGTTAAAACATAATTTTGATGTTAAACAGCATTATTTTAGTGTAAAAACTGGTATCTTCACTCATAGAAAATTACATTATTTTAAAAATATTTCTAATATGCTAAAAACTACCAAACCATTTCTGTTTTCACATTGCACAATGTCCATCTAAAATACAAGGTATACATTCTTATAAATAATATGAAAAATATTTTTTCCAGATTTCAATTTATATGTCAATACCTTAATTGGTTTTACTTTTTTACCAAAAATATTGGTAACAAAATATTACCAATGTTAATGTGAGTCAGTTAAAAAATTCAGTTCCTTCTAATTTGGAAAGCTTAAAAAAAAATTTAGTAACAGTCCAACCAAAGCCAGAGCAACAGCAAGCTAATCAGCAGCAGCAGCCGTCGGTACCTGGTACTGTCCCATCAGGCTACCCTGGTCAGGAAACTGAATTAGGTACCTTTTGTAAGACAAGTGCCGAACCGTTGCTTTTAAACTAAAATGCAATAACTTACATTAAGAGCACCTCTGTTACTATTAGCAGGTAACAACCTCCATATTTAATACATATTCAAAACATAGCAACTATAGTTATAACTCTAGTAGTGTTATTTGACTTTATATTTCCCTTCATGGGCAGACATTAACAGACAATAAATGTCTATCATTAATGACAGCCTCGTGGTAATTTCACAACCATCTGCCTAAAGGGGGACCTTCTGGTGAATTCTGATGAGCCCTCTCATCACCCCAACCTCTACCCTCATCTTACTGTACTTAATGTCTGAACCCAAATGGATAAACACAATTAGGAGAAACTTAAGATGTGAAGCTAACACATTCCCTCTCTTTCTTTCCTCTGTTTTCTTAAAATAACATGTTATATTTATTTCCTAGGTTTCTTACTTCCAGTCATAACAAAATAATGGTCATCTTCCTTTTTCTTTGCAGGAGATTTTTTATCTCCACTAACTGCCTCCTTGCCAGAGGAAGGTGGTTTCCTGGTTGAGGCTGGGGCTTTGTCACTTTTTGGAGGCCCTTTGGCTGAGTCCTGGCTCCTGGTGGCAGTCTGTGCTGACTTTGGTTCTGGTTGTGTTCTGGCAGAAGACTGGGGAACACTCATGATGGACAGTGGGGTGCGGCCAGGGGACCTGGAGGAGCTGGGTCCTGTCTTCTGGGATGTGCTTTTATTCTGAGGCTGCTTTTTGGCAACTGAAACAGTATTTTTATCTTTCGATTTCTGTGCAGCTTTTGTAGGAGCAACTGAGGCTACAGAAAGTGGCTGGTTTAAATTCCAGGCTGACTTAGGTTTCGGGGCTGGCATCGCCCCCGCTTGCGGGGCTCTGTCACATGGCCCGGATCGTGTTTCCGGACCTGCGGTCGTGGTTTTGGAACCGGATGCCATCACTTTTGGAGGGGACCAGATAGAAGGAGAGGGGTTAGGCCTTACATGTAGATTTCCCTTAGGTGGCTTTGGACACTTTGATGATGAATTTAAACATGCAGCTGAGTGACAGGTTGCATTATCCCTGGAAGATACATGACTGTGTTTCAAATGCTTTGGTTCAGTTTTTCCTGAACACTTATTTGGCAAAAGTGTAGACTCATGCATCTCTCTTGACTCCTTGGCTGGAACAAACTTGGCCTTAGGAGTTTTGGGTGATAGGACACATTTTCTTAATGACTCAGACACACAAGGTGCAGTTCTTGATAAAGCTGGTGAAGCAGTGCTTTTACCTACGGGCTTTAGACAAGCAGGTGAAGATGTCACATTGTTTGAAGGAGCCTGTGGTTTCTTTGTTATGCCTTTTGAAGATTTGAGTTTAAGGTGAGAAGATGTAGCTGGAGAATTTGGAAGTTTAGAACGGACTGACCTGGAGGCTAGATCACCTCCTTTCAGGGAAGATGCTGGCAGCAACACAGCTGGTGAACATACCTGCTTCTCTTTGCTCCTTGGAAGACCAATGGGTGTGCCAGGTTTTGAATCCTGTTTCTGAAACATGCTAACTGCTGACAAAGGATTCATTTCAGGAGGCTGAGGTGTTCTGGCACACGAATCAGGCACACTTTCATTAGACACTCCTTTCTGAAATGCTAGAATTTTCTGTTCTAGTGTAGCAAACTGTAATATTCGACAGGGATCATATTTAAGCAAAAATCCTTGAAGAGTATCCCAGCCTCCACCGACACGGACCATGACATGTTTTCCATGAAGCATCTTTCCCCCAAAAGAAAGTAAAAAATAAAGCTGTAAAACTGTAAGGTGTAGTTACAATTCATTAGCACTCACAATTTGTGATGCCTGTGACCTGTGAATTCAATTCAGTGTGTTTGCTAACAGCTTCACTAGAAATCGACAGTCTCTTTCTTACGTTATTAAAATAATAAATTTAATTCATACTGAATCATGCAACTAACAATAGAGAGTCCTCCATTACTAACATACAAAACTGTAAGGACAATATTGTTCAATTAAGAATTGAATATTGAAGGAAGATAGGAGAGAAGAGAAGGAAGGAGAGGGAGAGGAGAAACGGGACTTACAGAAGAAACGTCTCATAATAAAGAAAAAAATGACAGCAGAAAGAAAAAAATGACCAAAACTCATACTTTAGAATTTAATAAATCACGTTCATATATATCAATTTAATGTTCAAAAATTTTGATACAACTTATTACTAGTTTTTCTTTGCAGATGAGAAAATTATGGCTCTCAGAGACTAAGGAAATTGTCCCAAATCACACAGCTTGGCCCAGCCCTAAACACACCAGGCTGCTCCAACCCAAATGGTGCTTTTGTGCAGATAAGACACATCCTGGGTCTACCAGCACAGCCTGAGCTGGACTTCAGGCCCCTATTCATTCAGTAAGCAAATCTGCACAATTGTATGAGGTTCCTCTGCAAATTTTAACTCTAATCCCACACTCTATGCACCACCACTGTATCATAACTGCCTTTAAGAAAAGAAAGCTAATTAAAAGATAGAACATGCACATTTGTGTTTCTGTGTGAGTTCAGGAGGTGTGAGAAGGTAATGATAATATATGAAATAAAAGAAAATAAGGGTAGTGAAATATTTTTCATACTTTTATATTACATTCTTAAATTGGGAATAAAACAGCTCTTGCATCAGAAGTGGGCAGAATTCTGAACAGGTAAAACTTCCATCTCATCAGCAAATGATTAACCAACTGCAAATTGCAGATGGGACAAAGGAAGAAAATGAACATGTATGCTGGCATACTGATGCTGTGTCAAGGAAAAAAAAAGGCCTTATTCTTAAGACCCAAAGTATATATTATCATAAAGTGCAATGTTTCTATTTATTTTTCTTCTTACTGATTGATATTTAATTTTATTAGATGCATTTGGTTTGCTTTTTTCTTCTTATGATGCAAAATTATTCCATTTTAGAAACCTCAGAAATGGAGTAAGTTACCTGAGGTATACAAAGATTCTTTTTCCCCCCAGTTATATTCAATGCCTAAATAGCCTTACTATCCTGTAGTTAGTTGTTCGCTATATTAAAGGTGTTTACCTAAACTCACTGTATATATACTCTTGAAAGTAAGTATTCCATATTTTCCCTAAAGAGTGAAGTTCTTCCATTAATAACATCCTCTATTCCAATTTTTTAAAAAGTAAAAGGAGAGTAAAAGAAGTTTGGTAAAGCAATAAATTCAATTCCAAAATGAGATCTCAATGTAAGTAGGATGTAATGGTGACTTACTCTTATAAAGAGTATTTTATCTCCTAGTCGGTACCGTCCTTCAGATAAGTACTCGATAGAAAATCGATGAGAACAACTACAAGGAGGGTCTTCTGCAATATGTTTAACCTAAAATGAAAAATAAAAGACAAAATTTAGTGCTTGTGACAAAAACTATTTTGTTTAATGTTAAAATGCAAGGTTATTTGATAGTTGGTAAAAGCAAACTCAAAGCTAAAAATTTAAAGACAGTGCAACTATTTATTACCTCTTCTCTTTTACTTGTTGACAAATATTGAGATTGGACAGTAGTTAATCTAATAAAAGCTATCAGTGATGAAGTCTTGAGTCAGTTTCTCTCTGCCCAAGTGCAATCAAGCTGACCACTCACAGTAGTACACTCACTGACCACTAGAGGAGGCCTGTGCATGTGTACAAGAGTAAAGTCAATTCAAAACACATTCATTAAGGCACAGGAAATGTGTGAGTTCATTATTAAGCCTGAATTGTTTCAAGACCGGATTAATATATCTGTTAAACCAAAGGTCGGCCAGTCAGATAAAGTTTAACCAGGAATTTTCACTTGCCCCTTACTGTTATGCTAAAGTAATACAGATTTGTTCCAAATTTACTGTTAAAACAGAGACATTTATATCTAGTCACCCCAGACCGGGTAAATTCAAATAATTTCAATTCAAGAGGCTTTTTTCTAAAAGTGCCACTTTGTTTCAATAGTCTATTAAGGAGATGAAAGTTGAGGGGAAAATTCTACCTCCATTCCTCAAGGGGCTTACAGAATTTTTAACTGTAGTAAATATCCAAAACATGGTAAAAACTGGAATAAATATAAAAATTCAGGAATTCTATATTTAAAACTATGGAAATTAAAATAAACCGATTAAATGAAAATATTTGCTGAGATAGGTTTAATTTGAAAAAAGAAGTCACATATCAGCCACTACAGAAAATACTTTGTTTTCCTAAAATCACATTTTTGAAAAAGCAAGGCGACATATATTTCTTTCAACTACTTGTCACACAGAGTATATCTAAACAAATTAATTTAATTGAATTTAGGGATGATGGATAAAGAAAGTCTCTTCAGATATACGCAGTTTATTTAGCTGAACATTAATAGAAATTTATGATTTTCTTAATTATCTAACCCAAAATTAATGGACACATGTAGATTCACCTTGGCCTGATCAGAAGGGTCTGGATTTATCTCCCTATATCATTCATTTAGCAAAATAACATGATCATAAATAGAACTGACATTCAATCAAGTTTATCTTATTTACCTCCTGGGTGTATGTACACACTACACACACATTCATACACACACACATACACACACCACATGCAAAAAATGGCTAAAAATAATCTGAACCTGGGTAAGGAATTTACAATTATTTAAAACATTTACACATTAGTTAACAAAGTAATTAGAAAGCAGGTATATATTTCAGTCATTATTTTCCATCCATTACAGTTTCTTAAGTACACAGAACTACAATTGTATACTTCTTAATAGTACTCTAAATAATGAATCAGATAATAATTGTTCCTTACTTAAACATGATTCTAAGATCTCTGTAGATCATGTACGTAGAGGTGGACATTGAATATATTTATATAGCACAGATATATTTAAAGAAATGTGTTCCTTTTAGTTCTCATAACAAGAATGCAGACATGAAAAGTCACTTATTTTCTTTGTTTAAAATATACAAGAACCACTTATATTCAGCAGTACAAATCAGCACTAACCCACAATCTAAGGAAAGTGGTGAGGCTAAAAGAAGAGCTGTAAATAAAAAATGTTCTCTTCTGGCTTATCTATTGCATAATTAACATTACAACACTAAAGGAAATAGCTGAAGAAATTAAAATCATCTGTAAAGGCACTACTATCAATTATTTTCATTCTCCTTGTTCTGATAAACACTTTTCACAAAATAAACATTTTTCTTGTTGCTACATGGTCTTCATAATGATTACATAAAATTATTATTCTGTTAAGATAATGACTCCTACTTTACCTAGCCACTGCCCTATTTGGGATTACTTAGATTGCTTCCAATTTTTCACCCTTATAAATAATAATGCAATAAACACTTTCATTAATGCTACCTTTTTCTCTCTTCAAATATAATTAAAAAAAAAAGAGGAGGAAAGGTATAGCTCAAGTGGTAGAGCGCATGCTCAGCACCCAAGAGGTCAGGGGTTCAATCCCCAATACTTCTTCCAAGTGAAAATCAATGAAGAAACTTAATTATTTCCCCCTCATAAAAACAAACAAGCCAAAAAAAAAAAAAAAGAGGAACATTTTCGTGGCTGTTGATACCCATTCGTCAAGGCTGTTTTTCAGAAGTTTACATCATTTTCCACTGCAAACAGCAATCCCTGAGTAGAGTTCTACCAGAATTTATCAGCACCAAATTTCATAATTTTAAAAAATGTTGTTGATGTGACAAATCATATATCTGATTTCCTTGATTATCAGCACATTTCAACATTGTATTTCCTTCTTATGTGAACAGTCAGTTACCTACTGGAAATGTTTTTCTTATCAAACTGTATATGGTCCTTATATAATAGGAAAATTAACATATTGTATTTCCTATTTAATAAAAAATGTTTTCCTTTTTATTTAATTACCATTATTTTAGGTTATATGAGATTTAAAATCAAGTTTTTACCTACTACATTATCACTGCATTGCATATTGATATTCATAGGCATCATATAAATCAGTAATATAATGCAGTAATATAATATTCAGGCCTGATAAAGAGTTGTTCAGGCTGACATTTTCTTAACCTGTCTTGCAAGGCTATCCACTTGTTTTACTATGGACTTTTATCATATTAAACAAAACAATCAAAACAACAGTTTATTAGTAAAGACTTATTTGTTATTTCTTGAATAATTTTGTACATTAAGCACTTTCATAAAATACTACAATGCAAAAAAAGACTGAATTCTAAGCAACAGTCTAAGCAGAAAAAAATGTTTTGAGGCTCAGTTCACCTCCATAACTTATCATACTGCAGTCACGGCAGAAGACACACAGCCTAAGCAACTGTAATCCTATTAACTTCTACCTAATGATGTACTGGTAAAGTTTGGAAGACTTTTCAATTGAGACCCATCATCTAACAAGTCTGCAAATACTCTGTCAGGGGGAACAGTCAGAAAAATCCCATCAGCTTGTTCTCACAACTTTTCCTCTTCCTATATTCCTCAATTATCAGTGTACCATCGACTTGAAACCTTGGAAATTATCCTAGATTTTTTCCCTCCCTATTAGAATTAGTATTCCTGTCAATTCTCTTAAATATGTCTTACACTACATTTGTTTCTTTTGCTCCTTACCTACTGTTGCTGCTCAAGTTCAGGTTCCCAGCATCCTTTGCCTGGATTATATAACCTCTACAAGACCAGAGTAATCCTTGTGATTTACAAATCAGATTACAGCACTACCATATTTAAAAAGGAACCAGTGAATTCTGTGGCCTACAGAACACTTCATGATGGGTTCCAGTCTATTTGCCTCACTCCTCCTCAAGTACACTCCCATTCCTCATCACACACAGGCAACACCAAGTCACCTTTAACATATGACACTCTGAACTCACCAGAGAGTGGAAATCAGTACTGGTGTATATTCAGAATAAGAACATTTTCTTTTAAACATAGCATCGCCTGTGGCAAACGATGAGACTGAGGCATCACAGTTGAAAGATAGTATAGCAAGTACTTACAGCTTCATGCAGCTCTTCATGTTGACAGCACGATTTTGGAATGCTGATGGAATCTTCAAGTCCAGAAGTATTAAGTAAGGTCTCCTCTAGCTCAATTTCTTTCTCAAGTTTTACTAATACTGGGGGCTCAACCCCATATCTGAAAACCAATTATGAAATCTCATCAAGCAAGTGAAGTCTGACCCAAGCACTTCCCTGCGTATCACAATAGGTTATACTTTATTTTAAAATAAAGTCCGTCTGACTCTCTTCTACCAGTTATTTCACTGGGACATCTGGAAATCATTTTTAATGTCCCACAGATTGCCAAAAATTCATATTATCATCTTTACATCACAGCATATATATTTGGGTTACTGGATGCTCCTAATATTCAATCAAGGATCCTAAAAGGTGCCTTCAAATAAGCAGCTTGTGAGCGAAGATGGTTCTGAGCTAGGTAGGGAGGATACCAAGCCTCAGCCTTATTACTAGATCCTCTTTGTGTTCAAAGGACTTGCCTCACCTTGAACTGCTAAAAGACTGCATACTCTTACTCTGCTCTTAATTAAAAAATTTAAGTATCCACTTTTACAGTGTAATATTAAATGAAGACAAGCTATATTGAGCAAGTAAATGTTAACACATGACATGGCTCACATGAACAGAACAAAGTTAATAAAGAAACAAAAAGAAAGAAAAAATTGTAAATTAAGTTACTTCATTTCAATCAAAAATTATTTTCACTTATTAAAAAGTGTTCTAGCTAAAATAAAGTAGCCTAAAAACTGTTTATGACATTGAAATTCTGAAATATTGTGGAATACATACCTTGACACAATTCGACCAATTTCAAGAAGACAAAGATACACCTGTCTTGGATCTTTGTGCAAAACTGTGAAAAAATAAGACCACATATTTTAAGGGGCAAATTAAACAGGCAAATATATTTCTGGCAAGGAAGAAGTAAAATAAAAGAATGATTAATACAGTAAGTTTACTTGTTTGGAGACTTAGAAAAGATTTTTGTTTTCTCTACATATTATCATCTTCCTTAAATTAAAAAAGAAACAAAACTGTATAACAAGAAGACGAAAACCTACCATGGATGACCATTATATGCACAGTGTTTTAGGTCTAAAAAACTAAGGGCTTAGTACTATTACATTAATATTTCATATCTCTCAACAGGAGATTCTATTTGAAGAGATGTATCACCTCAATTTTATTCTAAACGATCTTTAGCATAGGACTATATGTGACTAGCCTTCTTAAACTCTTCCAAATGTAGGAGGGAGCACTTCCTAACTTATTCTATGAGGCCTATATTACCCTGATACCAAAGTTAGACAAAGACATCACAAGAAAACTAAAGACAAATATCCTTAATGAATATAGATGTACAAAATTCTCAATGAAATACTAAATCCAGCAGCAAGTAAGATTTAGCCCAGTAATACAAAGTTGGTTCAATAAATGAAAATCAATCAATACACTATACTGAAAGTATAAATGACAAGAATTATCTCAGTAGACACAGAAAAAGCTTTTGACAAAACCAAACATCCTTTCATGACAAAAAGGACTCAACAAACTAGAAATAGAATGGAACTTTAAAAATATGAAAATAGGCATCTCTGAAAAACTCACAGCTAACATCTTTATCAATGGTGAAAGACTGAATGTCTTCCTTCTAAGGCTAGGGAAAATAAGGATGTCCACTCTTACAACTTCTATTCAACATTGTACTGAGGTTTAGCCAGGGTGTTTACATAAGAAAAACAAATAAAAAGCATCCTAGGATTCGAAAAAAGAAAGGAAAACTATCTCTATTCACAGATAACATGGTCCTTTGCTTAGAAAACTCTAGAGTCTATAAAAAAAAACTAATAGGGCTAATTAGCAAGTTCAGTAAAGTTGCAGGATACAAGATTAATAAATATACAAAAATCACTGCACTTTGTAGATTACAATCTGAAAACAATCTAAAATATAATTAAGAAAATAATTACATTTACAACAGCTTCAAGAAGAATAAAATACTTAGGAATAAATTTACCAAAGAATTATAAGACTTGTATCCTGAAAACTATGAAACATTGTTAAAGATATTAAATTAGATATAAATAAGTGGAAAGACATTCTATGCTCATGGATTGGAAGATATAATATTGTTATTATAATACTCTCCCAGCTGACTTACAGATTCAGGACATTTCCAGTCAAAATCCCAACAGCTTTTTTTTTTTTCCAGAAATGGACAGCTGATGATAAAATTCATATGGAATTGAAAGAGACATAGAATAGCTAAAATAAGAACAAAGTTGGAAGACTCATACTTCCCAATTTCAAAACTTACTACAAAGCTACAGTAATAAAGACAGTGTTTACTGGCAGAAGGACAGACATACAGACCAATGTACTAGATTGAATGTCCAGAAATAAACCCATATGCTTATGTTCAATTGAATTTCAACAAGGGTGGCAAGACAACTCAAAGAGGGAAGAACAGTCTTTTCAATAAATGCTGCTAAGATAACTGTATATCTTCATAGAAAAGAAAAATTTAGACTCCTTCTTCACATCATATACAAAAAATAACTCAAAACTCAAGGACCTAAATCTAAAAGCTAAAACTGTAAAGCTCTTAGGAGGAAACATAGGTGAAATTCTGTGTGATCTCGGATTAAGCAATGGTTTTTTTAGATATGACATCAAAAGTATAAGCAAAGAAAAGATAAACTGAATTTCATCAAAATTAAAATCTTTTATGCATCAAAGGACACTATCAAGAAAGAAAAGACAATCCAAAGATCAGGAGAAAATATTTGCAAATCATATATCCAATGGCCTAGAATCCAGAATATAACTCTTACAAGTCTACAAAAAAAGACAATTGACCCCTCCTAAAAAATGAGCAGATTTGAATAGCATCTCTCCAAAGAAGATATGCAAATAGCCAATAAGCCCATGAAAAAAAGCTCAACAATATTAGTCATTATGGAAATTCAAATCAAAACCACAATGAGATAACACTTCACACTCACTAGGATGGTTAATTGGTTGGCCCTTGAAGAACATGGGTTTGAACTATATGGGTCCACTTAATACATGGATTTTTTTCAATAAATACAGACTACAGTATTACAAGATCTGCAGTTGGTTGAATCTGTGGATGCAGAACCATGGATACACAGGGCTGACTGTAAAGTTGTATGCAGATTTTCCACTGTAGGGGTTGGGGGTTCACCGCCCCTAGTCCCTGCATTGTTCAAGGGTCAACTGTACTTTTAAAAAATAACAAGTGTTGGCAAAGATATAAAGAAACTGGAACTTTTGTGTATTGCTGGTGGGAATGTAAAATGGTGTGGCCACTGGGAAAACAGTCTGGTAGTTCCTCAGATAAGCACAGAATTATCATATGACCCAATAATTCCACTCCTAAGTATATCCCTGAATTAAAAACATGTGTTCACTCAAAAACTAGTACATAAACATTCATAGCAGCATTATTCATAATAATAATATTATTAAATAATAAAAGTAAGAACAATCAAAATGTCCATCAGCTGATAATGGATTAAAAAAATTGGTATACCCATACAAAAAAATACCATTCATCCATAAAAAGGAATGGAGTACTGTTAGATGCTACAGCGTAAATGAACCATAATGTGAACTGAAACTAGCCAGACACAAAAGCCACATATTGTATGCTTCTATTTATATGAAAAGTACGCCAATCATAGGAAGAGAAAGTAGACTGGTGGTCGCCAGAGAATGGAGGCAGGGAGTAACTGGGTCCAATTGCAACTAGGTACAGGTTTTCTTTTAGGAGTGATGGAAATTCTGGAATTAATAAGTGGTGATATCTGCACAACAAAGTGAATATACTAAAAACCACTGAAGTGTACATTTTGAAAAGACAAATTTTATGTATGTGAAACATATCTCAATTTTTCAAAATGCTACAATTAAAAAGAAATCTAATATGCTTAATGATTAGCACACCTGGATTAAAGCAGGATACAAATTGGGGGGTAAAACAGCAATCCATTATTTTCAATTCTATACTGGACGGGAATCTCTAGAGACATACTAAACAGGTAATAGTGGGAATAGCTACCCTGTTTGCAGACGACAGGGTGTGCACGGTCAGTAGAAATATTTAAAACAACAGTAACCTAAAACAATAATAAAACCAACTAACAGTTGGTTTGCTTTTTATTACCACCATGAACCAGCAATTCTGAGCAATGTCAGTGATAAAATACTTGTCTCTATCAGGGCAGACTACTACTTCCACGACCCCCACCCTTAGTATGCTACTGCTCCTAACAAAAAGTTATAAATTCTGTGTGTGGGGTGTGTGTGTGTGTGTGTGTGTCTGTGTCTGTGTGTGTCTGTGTGTATATACATAAATACTTCGAGGAAACTTCGATGGTTTTCACTTTGGTCACTGCACAGATGCTTCTGTTGACTTAAAGGAAGTGAGAAAATACATCAGTAATTCTTTAGTAGAGTATGATCTTTTAAAATGAATTGTCAAAAACATTACTCCACTTAGATAACCAAGTTGGCAGCTGCTGTTTACGAGGTAAATCTAAGCACTGTGAGCATACAACATTTGGCCTTCTGTTATTTCTGTAATTACCTAAAGACAAACTACTCTACCAAGTAATTGTTGACGAAAACATTAATTAGTTAAGCATTAGTCCAGAACCTTCCGGTAGCCAACTCATTTAGGAAGTAAAATATGTCTAGGCCACTCTAGATATTTAGGATCTATAACTATAAATGAAAAGCTTAATCATATATTTAATTCAGAATCTGATTCTCCAATTGTTTCATGTGTATTTCGAGTATAAGTTTTTCTAGGGAAATGAGATGTGGCATTTGGGCCCTTATTTGGAAAAAAAAATTCTAGTGAGTTATATGAAAAATATCCTAATAAACATTAAACACAACAACAATAACACTTACCTAAACCTTCAGATTCAAAGAGGTAAGTCTCATCCACTCCAATGTGCCTGCACCAGTGAAGGAAGTTCGCAGTGTTGTCTCTAGCAAAGAATGAACCTGACGCAGCATCTTTCTTACAGGGCACTTTTCTCATTGGAAAATTCTGGCAAAGACAAAAGACTAATTTCTTACATGCATCAAGGATATTTTCATTAGATGTCCATTTTAACATTATTAAATAAATAGTCACTGCATCGAATGTAACAAAAAAGTACACAATACAGGGGGAAAGGCTGGCATCTTTGAAAATACTTTATTTTGCTTTTTTTATGTATATTCCAGAAAATGACTCCTAGGAAAACAATCTGGTCAAAATTAGAAGTAGGATCATGCATCTCTAACCTCTTTATTTTTAAAATAACACAAGAGTCTTAATTAAAATGAAAAATGACAGTCTAATAATTCCAAAGCATATCTCTATAGGATGTCTCTCCATACATAGTTCAATACAAACACAAAATTACTGCTATGTTAAAGGTTTACAGACACACTCATTTTTGTTTACTTCCTTATTTGCAGATTCATAAATATGGTTGTGAGTTTCTTGAGGAGACTTTAAAATAAGGAAGTAGTAGCTCATTCTTAATTCAAGTTCTTTGAAAACTAACAATCTAAGTTTTACAGAATCCTTTTTTTTTTACTATTTGGACAAGAGTATTCAGATAATCATGCTGAGGCTGAGGGGTTTTTAGTCTTAAATTTTCACTTGAATAAGAAATTCACGCATATGATTTTTTAAAATGCACTAACACAGTAAAGTATACGTCTTTCTTCCCCCTTTATCCCTCAGTTCCTCTCTCTTCCTAGAGATAACCACTGTTACCAGTTCCTTATATTTCCTTCTTGTTGCTATTATTTTCCAGAATTAAAATAGCTTTGTGAGTTTTTCTAATTGTATACAGAAAAAAAATCCAACACAGCCAAATACAAAGATAGTTAGTATCAAATGAAATCTTCTCATCCACATTTTATTAAGACATCTCTATACACAAGTATACCTGTACCTACAGAATGCCACAAGAACACACTGTTCTGCACTCTGATTTCTGTGTGCATGTATGCATACACACTTAATGACAGGTTGCAAGCAACTTTTGGGGTGAAAAAAAAACAGATTAAAATAGTCATTTTTAATGAATACATAATATTCTACTCTGTTACGTACCATAATTAATTTTAAACAACTTCTCTACTGATGAGCATTTAGGTTATTCTTAATTTTTTTTGCACAATCATTTTTGTAAGTTCGTGGTTATTTTCTTAGAATAAATTCCTCAAAGTATAATTATGTTATGTATTAAAGTTTGTGCTTTATTTTCAATGTGATATATATTACCCACTGTCCCCCAGAAAGATGGTACTATTATACTTCCACCAGCACTATGTTAATGTTCAGACCCTGAGAACACCCACAGACCTAAGGGCCTAGAAGTGAAAACATCCATATTTGATGAAAAGAGAGGAGACTTTATCTACTTCAAATCATAACTTCAGGGTCAATGAAGGAAACTGTCCTAAAAAAGAACTATTTATTCAACTAATATTTACAGAATTTACCACCAAGACAATATATAAAGAATAAAAAGATGAAGAGGAAGAAGATGATAGCTGCTAACTGTGTACCAAGAACCATCACAAGCTCTTTTCTCATTCATCTCTCACAAGTCTATATTGTTCTCAGTAAGAGCTAGCTACTAGATATTTACTAGGCACCAGGCACTAATCCATCTATATATTATCCCATTTGATTCTGCTGAATCCTTGAAAATATATCCTACAAGGTAAATGTTAGTTTCTCCATTTAGCAAGTGAGAATATTTTTCCAGATGCTCAAAATCATTAAGTAAACTACCCAAGGTCTTACAGAGTAGTTTGGGTGGAAGTTTATAACCTTGCAGAGATGATAAGAAATGTACATAAATCAGTATGTACCAAGGTATAAAATCACTACTGTCAAACATTTTCTTACCCTTGGTTCTTCAGAGTTGCATGTTTTCACCATGTTTTGAAGAACATTAATCAGCTGGCATAATAGTACTCCATTATCAAGTTCTTCCAATAATCTTTCTGCCTTAATTTCAATACCTAAAAACATATTTCAAACCTAAGATTCTTCTAGAAACAGTAAATTCAAACAATATGGTTAAAGTTGAATTAAATATAATCAGATTATAACTGAAACACTAAACAAATATTAGATCAGACTCCAAGTATTTATTCTTAGAGGATACACTTAGAACAGCAGATGTCAAATTAAGTGAAAGATAACTGGAAAAAAAAACCTAAATGTAGAAGTACAGAAAAAATAAAATATCTACTTTATTTCATTTAAAAAACACCGAAGTGTTTTTTATATTTCAATGTTCACTATTAAGGTTAAGTTTTGATTCACAGCATATTACTACTGCTTGCACACAGAAAAAGATTCTCTATAAAAAAGATGGACTTTGTTGCAATTTAGAAATTAGAGATAACAACATAATAAGCACTCAGGAAACACCAACTTTTCACCTCTAAAATTCCTTCTTTAGAAGCATTGTCATTATAAATAAAGTTTAAAAAAACTATCCAAATCTTTAAACTAACGTAAGGTAGAGTATTTACTGTGTTTTTAATGATCTTGAAAGGCCACAGATAAGCTTTATATATATATATATTCCTTTTCATGAAAACCTTGGAATGCTACATGAAATTCTGCTTTTAAAAGAGAATTTTTTTTTCTGGGGAGAGAGTTCAGAGCACTCATATCCTCTAAGTGAGTAAAGAAATACGATGTCATACATTGTCCAACCTGACTCTTCCTCCTAGGTTTCATATGCCTCTGCCCCTCAATGTCTCACAAACAGTAATCATTTTAACTATAGTATATATTCCATCAAAATCTTGTGCCACAAGATTAAGGGGAAAAATCAGCAAAATATAGATCCCCAGTTAGACCTATACACGTAAAAAAACCCACTAACCATGAAAATGTTGATTATTCACAGCTTTTACTACTGACTTCTTCTGTTAAGCCTCAGACGAGCTTACTATTCAAGCCCCGAGGGTCAGGTGAATCAGAGTATCTTCCCAACTAGAATGTAAGCTTGGTGAGAAAAGGGACATCAAATATTTCATTCATTAGAGGATCCCCAGCCTTTGGAACAATCATTCCGTGTCAAAGAGTAAGAATCTAAATAAACATTACTGAATAACAGAATACAATTTTGAGTCACTTTGCAAGCCTTACCTAATAAACCAGATAACCAGATTGACAGATCCTCTTGCATGGGCAACAGGGTGGCTTCGTGCCTCACAGCTATCCACTCGTCATACTGACAAACATCAGCCAAACCTGGCCCATGTCTAGGGGTCAGCGGACTCCGTGGACTTAAAGGCAGGTCTTCTCCAAACCATACCTAGAGAAAACACCAACCAACTGAATGGATGTGAACTTGTTAAAAGTCAGCATGCCCAACATTTACATTTAAGTCATGAATTATAGACCATATATTTAATATACACACATACAAAACTGCAGCAGAAAAGTAATAAACTAAAAGCAAACTATTAGCCTAGATAATTGAGACTTTTTCCATATTTAATTTGGTGATAAATGTAAGTAAATGCCTAATTAATAAATGAATTCTACTATCGAACCAAGAAGATAAAAGTCAACAAATAATATTTTTCCTTCACTTGTTAGCTGCATAAGTTTAACAAGTTGCTTAACCAGAGTCTCAG